AAGGAGCGTGTACATGGCATCTATTTATATCCGCGTTAAAAAGAAAAGAGCCAGGATCCCTCTCACACAAACAAAGGGATTATTTTTCAGGTGTGCTTGGGCTCAGAGGCCCTGTTCATGCACGCACACACACTCACACACACACACTCTCTCTCTCTCTCTCTGTCTCTCTCTTCATCATCATCGTCGTCATCGTCAATCCTCGACGCCTAAGACCCCCGGTTGCCTGTCGCCAGCTGTGCTGACCCTCTGTCGGCGCCTGCCTTTAGTGAGTAAAGACTTTGGCTCTCGTCTTGTGCAGTCCGGGCCTGCTCACCAGGGCCTGCGTGTCTTTACACCGTCCAGTCCTCACAGCTGCTCTGAGTGGGGCGGGGCAGCTTTTGCTGTCCGTCTCATACTGGATCCCCTCCCTCCCCCACAGAGTCCCAGGTCACATGCTTGCTAAGAGGCAGCCTTGGAACCGAGTCCAGGTCTGCAAAGGACAAGCCTTTCCCGGCTGCCTTGCCAGCTACCCGGCTCTGCCTTCTTCCTCTCTCCCGTCCTTCCTGCTCTTCGTTCCTCCCCTCCTGTATATCTTATGGAAAAATAACATCCTACAGAAAACATAGCTCACCCGGATGTGTGGAGCTCAGTGACTTTTTTTCTTTTTTCTTTTTTTTTTACTGGTGTAAAAGTTTCCAGACTAAGATAGAACATTCCAGAACCCTGTAGGGCTCTGCGCCCCCATTCCTGTCGCAACTGCTTCAGAAGTAGTTGACAGCTAACCCGGGGGTGGCCCTGCCTTCCTCCTCTTAAGAGTTCACCAGCGGCCGGTGAGTAAGCAGGCTCGGCGCCTGCCTTCTCTTGCTCAGCGTGGTCTGAGATCTGCCCGCGAGTGCAGCTGTGGTTACGGTCCTTCCTCCTGTTTGCTGGTTTCCTTTCGTGCTCGGGATGGAACCCAGGGCGTTGCACACACTGGTCAGGGATCCTGTCACCAAGCACACTGTCACCTGTGATGACGTTACCACGGATAGAAAACCACGTGCCCATCCTTTCCAGTGTGGGTGGATATCATCTGTGTTGCTCCCAGCCGTCACGAGTAAAGCTGATGTCAATATTCCTGCCAGTGGTTTTGGGTGAGCTCGGACACAAGTTTCTCAGGTAGGAATAGAATTCAGGGTCCTAAGTTTTGTTCTGGCTCAGGTGTAGGAGATAATTTCAAACAGTTTTGCAAATTGTTTGTGATGCCTGAAACTTTTGGGATGACCCCATCAAAAAGCAGCAAGTTGACATCTTAGTTTTCTCTACTGACTCCAGCTGCAGGCTTTCCCCCATCCGTCTGCTATTCTGAAGTCCAGCAATTTTAACTATCCCAGAAAAGGGTTGAGGGAACAAACTTGGGTACTATTGGGGAGCTGAAATGTTTATTCAAATGGGGGGGGTGTATAGAGGTAGGGATGGGAACAAATAAGACATATCTAATTGCATAATTTTAAAAAATGTTCCAATTATCAGATGAGAGCACTCATAAAAAATGCATTCGGGCACCAAGCAAATTTACGTTTTTGAATTAGCTGCTGTTTTATAATATTCAGCATTCTGTCCTCTCCATTAGCATGAATCATTCGCAGTTGTTTGTATTTGATGCTTACAGAAACAGGCCTTTCATAAATGATAGTTAAATCACCCTGCCCGTGCTCTCTGTGCGGAGAGAGTGGACTGCATTTAATTTGCAGGGAAAATGTATTTATTCACTCATTCCACAGACAGACATTGCTTAGCAGTCTGCGGGACGTGGGGAGACAAGTTGCAATCCCAGAGCATATGGAATGCATTGTGTACCAGGGAAGCCATTCATTTGTTCATTCAGAGATTTATTGTTACGGCGGGGCCGCTGAGGGTTTCTGAAGAGAGCAGGTAGCATGGTGAAAATGGCATTTTTGTGATCTGACAATGACAGGGAGAATAGACGGGACAGGAGGAACTGGGGGACGAGGCAGGGGGTTATTGCAAAATGACGACCTCCACGCGCAGCCTGAGGAACTAAGCCACACGCCTCCATCTTGGTACTCCCGGCTGGTGCTAGGTGGGGTGGGGTTACCCCGAGATGTTTAAATTCATTTGGCTTGGATCGACTACAGGGATTGGTGTTGTTTCCCAAGCTCCCCTAGGGATTATCGTATGTAGCCTGGGTACCACAGTCACTATTATAAAGGAAGATTGGACGGGAGGGGAGGGGAGGCTGGGGATACGAGGGTCTAAGGGGAGGGAGATTGAAGTCAGCCCCAGGCTCCACTGCTGAAAAAGGATGGAAACAGGATCCACGCTATGGGAGAGGAGCTTGGTACCTGGAGCTCTGTGTTGGAGCCCGCCACCCCCACCCCCAAGAGCAACTCGTGCCTAGAAATGGGACAATGGGGCCCAGTCACCCAGAAGTGGCTGTGCCCTCAGGGATTGGGAGAAAGAAAAGTGCAGAGACTGAACCGGCACTGCTGCCCAGGGAAGATGGCTGGGTCACTGGAAAGTAAGGGACTCTGGACAACACCTCAGGCTGCTGTAACCTGACTCTGAAACATCTCCCACAGTTCATGGGTTAAAGGCTCATGCAGGAGGTACCGGCCCCGTGCTTTGGGGAAGCGGTGGACATTTAAGAGGTGGGGTTGGGGGAAGGGGTCATCTGGTCTTTGGAGAGGTTGACGTTGGGGGGTCTGGGTGGGACCCCCCCAGCCCATTCCTCTCTTGTTAGCATCTTAGTCATGAGCTGGAGGTGTCATTCATCCCACCACATCATGCCTGCCCTAGGCAACCGAAGCCCTTCAACCAAGACCGACACCTTCAAAGCTGTGAGCCCAAACACGCCTTTTCTCTTTGCTGGCTGATCACCGCGGGCATTCGCTAGAGGCGCAGGAAGTTGACCAACACATGGGCCAACCCTATCGAGGGCCGGGGCTTCAGGGTTCGGGAAGACCAGCGCACTGGCAGCTTGGGGGAGGGACAGGTCGGAACAGACAGCAGAGGGGCGAAGGGAGCACAGAGAGAATGACGGGTAATGTGAAACTCGCACATACCTCGTGTCCTGTGTCCTGGTAGGACTGGCAACAGACCAAACACAGGGACAATCAACAGTGTGCCACAATCCATAGGTAACACGAGTGACAGGGAAATGCCGTGTGCCCCCTGTGCACCTGTGAAGGTCACTTTAGGGTATTAGTGGATGTCTCCTCATCCATGGGTGGGTGATGTGGGTGACCCCAGCCACGCCTCATCTGCCTCAAGACAGCCTTGTGGACCTAGCACATTTCAGTCCCTCTGTCACACCAAGTAAATGCCATGGGAAGGCAGAGCGCTCCACGATTTACCCCCCCCCCCACTTCCTGTGTGGTTTTTGTTGATAATCTACCCTGAGAGTCAGAGTTCAGGTCACTCACTGTTTGGAAAAATGGTAAACAAAGATAAGAGCACTAAGCACTGGAATTTATTTTTTATCCACTTGGCCTAAAAGCCACTGCCTGTTAAATTTAGACAGCCGGTTTCAGACCCCTCCCTCCCTCTTGCTTCCTGCCCCTCTCTGCCACCATGCCTAGAGCGTGGTCTCTGCTGGTTGTGGGGTATGTAATGCATTCACAGAGCATGGCCAGAGTCAGCCTGTCTGGGTGTTTATCACAATGTATCATCGGAGGGCCTGGGAGACAAGAGCCATTTCCTCTGCTCTCCCGCTCAGTTCACCAGGGTAGCAGCAACAGCCAAAGGCTGCCCAAATATTTACCCAGACGTCCTCCCAGGCAGAGCTCCTGGGCTCCGGTCTCACACTGTCCTAGGTGGGCTTGCCCCACGGGACATCACAGCAGTTCAGCAGACCATCTTAGGTTTGTTTACAAGGTCACCTTCCACCTGCCTGGAATCTATCATCCAATGGCTCTTTTTTTTTTTTCTTCTATGTGGCATAAATCCCTTTGCAATCAACTCTAAGATCCAGAGAAATCCTTTTGTTGACCTGGAGTTCTGTTGTTTTAAATATTGCTTCAAACAAATGAGCCATTGTCTGGGCTCAGAATTTTCTGGAAGAAGATCTCCACTTTAATGCACTTTATCGAAGCAGGATTACCCCCCACACACACACACACACACACACACACACACACACACACACACACACACACATCTCCCTTCAAATCCCTATTGACTTCTCAGTCTGTTTTCAAAGCTCAGGATATAAGCGGAGAGCACCAAGCCCAAGCTGGGAAAAAAAATCCCTTTCCCCATTAAAAAAAAAATCCTCCTTTGTCCAAGAATGATGTCTAGAGGCCTAAACAGTTTGTGGTACCATAGTTTAAGGACTGTTGGAAATCGAGGAGCTTTTTATTTATTTATTTTGACTTTCTGTGTGTGAATGTCAACCTGCCTGTTCATCTGTATATAGCTCGCATGCAGGCAGTACCTATACAGGCTGAAGAGGGCATTAGATCCTCTGGGACTGAGGTTACATGTCACCATGTGTGTGCTGGGAGCTAAAGCCTGGCTCTCTGCAAAAACAGTAAGTGCTCTTAACTGCTGTCCCATCTCTCAAGTCCCTAGAGGTACTTTTATGCACCGGCTTGGGAGAAAAGAGTTAGGTGCCAGTGTTTTTGCTGGCACTAGTTATCAGTCATGGGACACTTCAAAGAAAAAAAATGACAGGAGATACCCAGGTTCTAGAAATGTAACCCTATCATTCACCAGAGAGGTGAAGTGACTCGATCAAATTACTATACAAACGGGGACAGAGGCAGCTTCAGACTGCAGACCAATAGACCAGGGTTCAGCAGTATGCTTTCTGCCAAAAACCAGGATGAGACCATCCAGAGCTACACTGTCGTGGAACATTAGTTAAAGATGGGCTACAATTGTTTATGCTGTGGAACATTTGTTTAATGATGCAAAGATATGTGTTGCACTCTTTGATGTTCCATTTGTTTAACTCTGCAAAACTCTGTTACTCTGCCTGTCTAAAACACCTGACTGGTCTAATAAAGAGCTGAACTCCAATAGCCAGGCAGGAGAAAGGATGGGCGGGGCTGGCAGGCAGAGAGAATAAATAGAAGAATTCTGGGAAGAAGGGATCAAAGGGCGAGAAAAGAAGGGGCTAGCCACACAGCCAGACATGGAATAAGAGGGAAAGAAAGATACAGAATAGAGAAAGATAAAGCCCCAAGGCAAAAGGTAGACAGAACAATTTAAGTTAAGAAGAGCTGACTGAAGAAAATAAGCCAAGCTAAGGCTGGGCATTCATAAGAAAGAATATGTTTTCATGTGATTATTTGGGAGCTGGGTGGTGCACCCGCCCCCCCACCCCCAAGAACTAAGAGTAAAAGAGTAAGAAAACAAAAGCAAAAAGAACTACACGGAACGTGCTTTCCCTGTTCCGCCCCCAACCCCCCAGCGTTAGAGAGTAAGATGCCCTGGGCCATTGCTCTGCCTCTGAGTCACACCTCCAGCTCTCAATGCTCCGGTGGGAGACTGTGCAGGCGCACATCCTTTAGTGAGGACCAAGGAAAGTCCCAAGAAGACAGCGTGCTTGAGGAGCCAGGTGGGGTCTGTTCTAGATCTAACAGGAGGTGAACTGGAGTGGTGCAATTTGCAAATTTGCATTTCTGAGCACCTTGCATTCACACTCCTGCTTCCAGTCGGGCAGTGCAGAGCTGTAGAAATAGGACAAAGCCCAGATGTTCCTGCCCTCCCACTCTCTGGGGGGGGGGGCATTGAGCAGAGCCATGTGAGTGCCAAGAGAGAAGGTATCCAGCACTTCCTGGCTCTCCTGGCAGGAGGATGGAGAGTGCTATCGGGTAAATCCTGCAAGGCAGGGTGGGGCTGCAGGCTCCAGTGTGCCAGACAGACCCAGGCCAAATCATTTCCCGGCTCTGGGTCAGTTGTCTGTCGGAAGATCTTCCCAGTGTTGCCCAGCTGGTGACCAGGTTCTGGTCCTGGGCTCCCTGCTGTCTCTAACTTCCTGAGGAGTGCCATGGCGCCCTCACGTCTTCCCGTGGCTCTTTATGACCTGCAGGGTCTGTGCAAGGCTAGCGACTTCTGTCTCGAAGATAACCACGGCCGTCATTGGTCTGAACGAGTGATGTCCCCCGTAGGTCACATACTTTGCGTACTTGGTTTCCCGTTAGTCATGTGTTTTGGGGGGTGTCACAGGGATTTAGGGGGTGCAGCCTTACAGGAGGAAGCACGTCACTGGGTATGGGGTGGGCTTTGGGGGTCACAGACTCCTCTCCACTTCCTGTGTGCGACTGAGATGTCATTTCATAGCCACCTGGTGTCACACCTCCTCCTCTGTGATGGGCATCCCCTCTGGAACTATAAGCCAGAATAAACAGGAGGATTCGTCACAGCAACAACAAACCCACAGCCTCCCAGGGGCAAACAGAGGCCCCAGAGCTTGGGTGGCGATGGGAAGGCTGGGGGCTGGACCTACACCTGTTTCCAGGACACTTGGGTCCTCTTGTGACCCCTTTCCACCTGGTGCTATTTTAGGCTTTCCTCCGTAGCTGGCGGCTCCCATGGGGAGGACTTCTTGCCAAGAGTGGCCTCTGCAATGACAGACTAAGCACAGAAGGCCCGGCTAGAAGGATGACACGCCCCTTCTCCAGCTGGGAGCGAAGCTGAGCGAGGATGCTTATGGTGAGGAAGAGGGTGGCAAGCTTAATCAGGGACAGCACCTGCCTCCGAGTGGAGTCTTGTTTTCCACAGAGTGTAGTTCGCTCCGTGAATTCTGACTCCCCACTCTGGCCAAGCCTCAGCGAAGGGGGCTGCCAGCAGCTCTGCAGGGAGACCCCCCAGGCCTGTCCAGAGGGACTGCGGGTCCCCTTACTCCCCAGAGAAGATGTGGAGGTCACAGTGGGCTCTGGGGAGACACAGGCTCTCTCTCTCTCTCTCTCTCTCTCTCTCTCTCTCTCTCTCTCTCTCTCTCTCTCTCTCACACACACACACACCACACCACACCACACCACAGGTGGAGCAGACGCCCCAGCTTTCCGCATCCTTCATGGAATGGGGAGGGTCTCCCCTCTCTCTTTCCTAAGTTCCCCACAAAAAGCCCTCCCTCATTTTCGGAGTCAGCTGGGCCTAAACACACCAAGGCTTCCCACAAAGGCCACCTCACAGGTTCTCTTTACAGCTTCCTGACGTAGGACTCCACCAGCCCCATCCCTGCGTCCTGCCCTGGGAGCCTTCTTTTGGCTTTCTTACCTCTATGATTGGGTTGTTCTAAAAGGGGGTGACCACGCCCCGTGAGAACAAGTCACCCCACGGTCCCACACGACAAATGACTCTTACTTCATGTGTTTATTTCAGTGGTGGATTCCTTCAGAAATAAACCCTTTTTTTTTCTTCCCTAGTAAGAATTTTCTCTGCCTCACAAGGATCCCCTTAGCTACCCACGGGACCCCTCCAGGCCTGTGCCCTGCCTTTCCTGGGGCAGAGTGCCACCTGTGCCCGCTCTGCGCCCAGCTCTGTGTACACATGGGCAGAGATGGCCAATTCACAGTCCCTGGGGTCAAGGGCGCGGGGACATTCGCGTGGATTGCTGCAAGCGAGGGCCCTGTGGCTTTCATGGGGACACTGCGAAGGTCAGGGTCTGCCTTGGGTGGGGGTGGGGACACCGCGAAGCCTTCCCCGGAGAACAGGAGCCCGATGCTGAAGCAATTTTCCAGATATATTTGCGCTCTTTCACACAGAAACAATAAAAGCAGTTAAACAAGGTTTTGGAGCAGCGCTGAGCCGTGCTCCATCGCGGCTGCGCGTTCATTGCCGTTTTACTGGCACACGCGCTCCTGTGGTCTCTGCCTCGCTCCAGCCTGGTCTCAGCCCGGAGACGGTGGCTGAGGCCTGCGTTAATGAGGGCAATTTGTTTTGGCTGGGGGTCTTAGAGTCGTGGGTTTCTGTTGTCTCTGTGCCTGCTGCCCCTGTTCGGGGCCTCATGCATGCGTGGATGCCCCCAGTCTCAGAGCTCCCTACCCTACACGGGCAAGGCTTCTCGAAGGGACTTAGTGTGAAGGTCAGAGCAGCTGAGAAGCTAAGTCCCGCTAGGTATCAGAGGTGACATTCCGGGTCACTCCAGGGAGGACTTACGGGACGGACAGCTGGCTGTAGGTTGTTTTTTTGTTTTCCCATCAGGACCATATGTCCAGGAAGCCAAAAGCAGAGGTCAAGTCTATGGCCTCACACGGAGAGACTGAGAAGGTAAAGAGGACAAGAAGGGAAGCCTGGTGTGTGGGGTGGTGGGTGAGAGAAGCCAGAGCAGCAGTCCTGAGGGGTGGGCACCTGGATCCAAGGGACCAAGACAGGGGTCAGAACCAGGATGGATTCTCAGAGGACGCAAGAGTCATCTGTCACTGACAGGACGCAGGTCTCGGGACTGCAGTTGCATGGGCGAGCTGGGGTGAACCTCTAAGCCTGGGCGGCTGTGGTGAGTCGATGAAGCAGGAGTATCAGGCAGAGACAAGCACACCTCACACCCCAGACTCCACAAGCTGGGAAACCCTTACAGGCATTTCCAGGCTCACCCTTGGGTCACCCCTGGCAACCTTGTTCCTGAATGAGGGGCCGGGAGACATGACTATTAACAAGGGCAGGGTCGGGATGGAGAGATGCCTAGCCTTGTGGAGGGGTGGGAACAGAACCAATGGCATCATTTATGAGAAAGGAAAGTTCTGGGTGCATGGAGGATCGTTGCCGTGCTCTGTGGGTGACTTTCACCTGAGCTGTGTGCAAACTGAGTTGTAGCTTACAGATGAGGGTACTGAGGTTCGGGATTTGTGTGGAAGGTCAGGAGGGACAGACGGGGGCAACTGGCAAAGGGAGGGGTGGGGCTTATAGCACCCTGGGGTGAATAAAAACCAAACTTTGACTCCAAGGTCTGTGACCGGAGATGCTTCATGGAATGGACCATACAGCAGGCCAGCAAAGTAAGGAGCCCTCTTGGGTCCAGGGTCTTTGGGGTCAGGGAGGTTGAAGGTGAGTGGGAGAGAGCAGGATGATGGTCTCGAATGTGGACCCTGGCCAAGAGAAGGGAAGATGCTGTGGATTCTCTGCTCCCTCAGTCGTAGAAGCCACTGCAAAGACGACGTAGGACCGCCCTCTTTGGACCTGATGCCAGCTGCTCTGGCTGGTCAGGGCTGGCCCCAGTTGGCACAGGGTGTCAGCTCTCTTGGAAGGGACAGGATGCCATTCGGGAATCCTGCTGCCCTTGCTTACAGTGTGACTAGCCACATAGAATTTTGGCTATGGTTTTCTTAGCCTTGAACTTCAACCCTCAGTGGGTATCAGTGGAGTCCTCTGGCATGGAGTTCATATGAGTGGTAATTACCTACCCTATTGTCTTCACAGGGTTGGGACACCCCAATCCAATTTGTTTATCCTCTCTGTGACCTCAGCTAACATAGCTTCTTCTCAAAGAACTGTCCCAACCCTTGAGAAGTTTGGCAGGCTTGTGAATCTCTTTGGAAAGTAGTGAAAATAGCATACCGTCTACTGTCTTTATTTCTGCTAAGTGCCTGCAGGACCAGAGGAAACGAACCCAAACTGGAGCAGGAGAGGGACATCAGTGGCCTGCTCTAAAGGTTCCTCCACTCATTGGTGTGCTCTCTCTTCTTATAGGCCACCAAGCATGACTAACTGGTCCTGCTTTGATGGGCATACTGCCCTGGAGCGGATGGCTGAGCAAACTCAATTCTCCCTGCCAGGCAGACAAGCAAGGACAGCCACCAAAGGCTGTCTTCATACACCCCTGAGCAAAGACATCCCTGTTCCTGCCACACCATGCCGCCCAGCCCCCTGCCCTCCGGTCTGTACCCTAGGTTTACAAGCTCATGAGCCGGAGTCTAGAGTTCTCTAGAATTCCTTGTAAATCACGCCAGTGACACAAGCATTCTAGAGGCCGACGTAAGCTGTGCTAAGGTCCAGAGAAAGCTTTGGAGGTGGTAGGAGGGCAAAGGAAGCAGAGGTGTTTCGTCTGTGCCAGGAGGAGGCTGGGTTCGGAGCAGACAAGGAGCTGATCCTGGGAGTCAAAGTGCAGAGGAAGGAGCAAGATGACGTAGCTCGGATTGTGATGCAAACCCAGATGCCCATGGAGCCAGGAGGCACCCGGACTCTGTCAGCTTGCGCCCAGAGGGCACCGGTGTGGTATGGAAGGGCTGGGGGTGCACCCTTGTCTGATGCTCCTGGAAGGGACAGGCTAAAGGTGGTCTAAGCTCCTGCTGCTTCAAGGAAAAGCCAGGATCTAGGCTTCTGCAGAATCCTAATTTCTTAAATTCAGCAGTTAGTACATATTTGAAAGCTAAGACAATACCTCTGTAGTTGCACTCAGTTTCTGGGCTTCGTGCGCTGACCCCTGGCCTCCACAAGCTGCTATGACTGGATTCTGTGGGCTGGGCAGCCCCCTGCCTCAGCATTTGATGTCTGCCCACTTTTGGCTCAGTCCCTAGGATGCTGTGGGATTTGTCCCCACACTTGGCTAAGAAAATAGCATTCTTTCCCCAAACTTAGACTTGGCAGGTGGGTGGATTTCTGGTTTGGGTGTTGAATCTTAAAAAAATGAAGAACACACCTGATATGGAAATGCCATTTCTCCTCACGCATGTTGCCACTCTTTGGAGTCTAGGAGGGCCTCACGATGCTCAGAGTCTTTTAGGTCAAGGCAAGGGTGACCTTGTCAACCTGCTCTCATTTCGGGGCCCACAGATGAGCGTTCAGTAGTAGGGTTTTGTTGTTTTTGTTTGTAAAAGTCGCACAGACCGAAGACAAACCTGCCTGGAACTAATGTCAGCATGTTCCTTATATCCCTGGGACTGCCTTTCTTTCTAGTGAGTGGTCTCAATTGAAACCATTCGCCATCATCAGACACGTTTTATAACTGCATGATCGCTCTAGGCTCAGGGGCCCCAGACACAGGGATGCAGCTGGGAATGTGCAGTGAGATTGAATGGGGTGATGTCAGAGAGGGGACTGTGGGAGTGGGACTTCCGCTCAGGGTACCACTGAGTGCTGAGCTCTGATGGACAGGAAGGGACAGATTCCCCCATGTTCTGATTCCCATCCTTGGGTGTGCCCGGAGAGGCCGGAGAGTTGGGGGGGGATGCACCTGTACACAGGCCGGTTTCTAGAAAAGGAAGCTCCAGGGAGCCATAGGCAACAGGCTTCCCCAGGGCGAGTCCGGGCTGTAGCCAAGGATGGGAAACCTTTTGTGAGGCTTGCTGGAGTGTGAGTGTTGGCTCAAGATGGTGGCCTCTGGGACACCAGACCACGACTGGCTCTTACAGATCGCTAGGGGAATTCGCCCAGGCTTTCCTGCACTGGGCTTCAAGTTCCACCTCAGGAGCCAGCACTGAACACCAGAAGCGCACACGGAGTTTAAGTCTGTTTTGCGGCTCGCCAGCTGTGCGGCCCGAGTCGACTTTGGCAGCTGCAGTTTCTCACCCAGCGAAAGAGAGACGCGCGCTGGCCTTGTGCTGCACGGAGCTGCGTCAGCACAAACCTCCATTCGAGGGTGGCTCAGACAGTAGCGTCTGCATAAGAAAACTCAGTGGACATTCACTGCTTCCCCGCTGTCCTCCCTCAGGCAGCCATTGTAGATGGACCTGCCCAAATCTTGGATTTGCTCTCTTTCTGAAGAGGCTCACCAAATGCTCACTGTACACCCTCGCTGCAAGTGGGGGTGGGCTTCTACGAGACTACTGTGGGAACAAGGTCCTAGAAAGTAGGCCAACCAGCAGCTGGAATAGAGGACCCCTCCTGCCCTGCACACGGAAAGAGAGTGATGCTGGATGAGGAGAGACACGGATACAGGCGATGGATGGTCTGCCAGGATGCCCGTGATGCCCCAAACACTGCTAGGCACTGGGGATGCTTGTGTAGGTACCACCCCCCCCACCTCCACAACATGGAGGATGGTTCCGTCCCATCAGCAAATGTGAAGGCACAGAATGAGATGTTTTAAAGAGAGAATCTGAGGGAGGTACAGGAGAAACTGTTCAGAAAAATACCAGAATATCTGAAAGACTTAATTCAGGGAGAGAATAAAGGAAGTGCCTTTTTCGCCTGCTCTATCATAAACATACAGGGCTTCTCATGATACGGGCTCACAATAATTGCTATAAGCCTAGACAAATTCAATGGTGACTTGACAATGGGTCAGTGAGGGGGCCACGCTGGCCTTTAGGAAATGAGTATCATGGGAGCAGCCTCCAGCATCTGCACCACACCATCTCATATGGGGTCTGCTGCTTCTTCCAGAGGGACACAGATAGACAGTCACGGGGACACAGGTGGGCAGGAAACATGAGACCTTGCTACTCTGGGAGAGATCGTCTATACCAGAAGGTGCAGGCACCTCTTGAGGGGAGTTTGATGGGTGGAAGAATATTGTTCTGGTCCAGCCACAAGCCCCCGCTCCCTGGTGATGTTATTCCTGGTATAGTGAGCAGGGATGAACAGGACAATTTCCAGGAGAGACCTAGGAGGGGTTCTGAACCCCCAGTGGCTGGGATTCACCCATGCTCTCTGATTTGAGCATTGTTCTGCTGGCCTCCAGAAGGAAATCATGTCCTGGGAAAATGAAGTGTCAGGTGTAAATTTAGAGCAAGAGAGTAGAAAAAGTTCCCAGCAATAAGGAGGGTATGACATGCAGTGGCAGGGGAGGGACTCTGGTTACTCGTGTGTGTGTGTGTGTGTGTGTGTGTGTGTGTGTGTGTCTGTATCTGTCTGTCTCTCCCTCCCTCTGTGTGTGTATGTCTGACTCTCTTTCCCTCTCTGTGTGTCTGTCTCTCACTCTCTGTTAGAGTGTGTGTGTGTGTGTGTGTGTGTGTGTGTGTGTGTGTGTGTGTGTGTGTTGCTGTCCCCTTTAACAGATGAAGACACAGGCTATGGAGGACCTGTATTGTCCTCAGGGTACTATGGCTGGGTAAGGGGCCTTTCAGCAGGGAGTTGGGTGTAGCATGAATTCTAATTGGTATTATTAATAAAAACCATCAGGGTCAACTATCAGAGGATGAAACTTGAAGATCAGAGAAGCAGAGTGGCCAGCCACTAGGGAGTCCTTACTTCTACCAATGCTCTGACCAAAGGGGCGATCCTGTCCTCAGACTGACTCCCCAGATGGCATCCTCAGACTGCACTTCTCCTCAGACTGCCCTGAGCTCCTATCTCCTCCCACCTTATATTCCCTCTCCATCCAGTCATACCCCTTCCTGTCCACCTCCTCAGTGCTGGGATCAAGTGCTGAGCTCACTTTTGTGTGAGCTCTGTTTCTCTTTTAGACTGGACCAATTTTGTGTCACACAGGGTGGCCTTGGAGTAACAGAGATCTGGGGGAAGTCCTTCTGTGTATATGTTTGTCTTATTGGTTGACAAATGAAGCACTGTTTGCCAATAGGGAAGCAAGATAAGTAGGAATAGGAATCAAGGAGGAGTCTGGGAAATGTAGTCAGGAGTAGAGAGTTGCCATGTGATCCTGGGAAGAAAGGATGCATGAGGCCTGTGCCCTTGGTAAGATAAGACCATATATATAGTAGTTATGGGTTAATACTTAAGACAGAAGTAGCCAATGAGAAGCCCTGGATATTGGCCAACAGCATTGTAACTAATAGAGTCTCTGTGTGTTATTTGGGGTTGACGTGGCTCAGGGACCAGGCTGGCGGGAAGAATGCTCGTTACAGAGATCCATCTGCCTCTGTCTCCCGAGTGCTGGGTGTGTGCCACTATGCATGGCCTCCATGGCTGACTGGTGTGGCTAGCTTTGCACTCTGATCTTCAGGCAAGCACTGAGACCTAGAGTTTGGTATCCCAGGCTGCTTGAGGATGACATTGGTGGCAGACTGGGGCTCCAAGACAATGCAGGGTGAGTCTCCATGTTAGCTTCCTGGTCCTGCTTGGGCTTCCATGGAGTTGTCTAGCAGCTCACGAAGCAGATGCCAGGGCCAAGAGGGATGGAGTGGGAAGTATCTCCCGCAGAATGGAAGGAGAGGGCTAACCTGCTTCTCTGTGTACACTGGTCATTGAGCTAATAAAAAATGTCAGAAGGAACATTGCGTTTGGATCCTGGGGGCAAGGTGGCAGTCACTACAGAGGCATGGGAAAGTGTCCTGGAGACAAGAGTTTCCTTGGGACTTGCCAGCCATAACCAAAAAGAAAAATGTGCATGGAAATGAGGGGTCCATGAAGAGATCCCAGGGCATTCCAGAGGAGGGGGGGAGTAGAAGCATTCTGGGTAGGAACAGGAAGAAAACAGACAGTGTACATGGGATTCCTTGGCCCGCTGGCTTTGCCTATCAGTTGGTTTATTTGCAAGACTCAACTCAGTATAAGAGTCGGGGAAGGGTGGATTCTAGGTTTGCATCATAACCTTGAGAAAAATATCTGGAGCCCTCTAAATCTCTACTTTCTCAACCCTAAAAGGGAATGTTTACAACAGACATCATTGCTACCACGTAGGTGATGGAGAGCATGTGGTACCATGTACTAGTTACTATTACTGCATTTTCCTTATGTCATTGACGGTGACAGTCCTAGCAGGGACATGCAGGAGACTCGCTATCAAGCTCTCCGGAGGCACAGAGACAGCGAGATGGGTTTATCACTAAGCCTGGTGAAGACAGAATGGCAGAACAGGATGAAAGAGTTTTAATGCTACTGAAGTCAAGTAGACGCTGTAGCCGTGAGGCTACCAACTGAGACACGGTGCAGAGTTTGGAAATTTGAGGAGATGACATGGTAAGACAGCGATGTCACGTAGTGACGGCAGGTGCAGGAGAGGGTCCCCGGGTGTGCATTACAACTCAGAGACCAGGCAAAGGTTAGGAAGAAGAGGACATGAGACTCAAAAGTTGGGTTCTGAAGTTTTAGCCTCCCCCCGCTTTTTTGTCATAAATGAACATAATGGGAAAAAACTCAACTAGAAATGATATATTTCCTCATTTGTAAAGTGGATTTGTGTGTGTGTGTGTGTGTGTACATGTACTTGTGCCTGCAGAGAGCAGAGAAGGACATCTGATGTCTTGCCTAATTCGTCTGAGACAGAATCTCTCACTGAACAGGGAGCTAGGCTGGCAACAAGCCAGCCTCAGTGATTCTTGTATCTCTGTCCCCCGCAGAACTGGGTTACAGATGCACATGACTGTGTCCCGTCACCCACACCCGGTTCCCCATGCTTACACAGAAGCCGCTAGCTCAGGGAGCCGTCATCTCTCCACCTCATGGGTTCTTTCTTAATCCCCCGTTCACTATGGGCTATGATCTGTCATGAGTTTATAAATTCATTTTAAGGGGTTAAGACAAAAATTTAGATTGTCCTCATAGCCAGGCATGATGGCACACACTTGTAATCCTGTCACTAGGGTATGAGGTGGGGCAGTCAGGAGGACCAAATCTAAGGTCGGCCTGATCCTACATAGTCCATTCTAGAACACTCAAGGATATGTGTTCTGAAACATAACAAAATAATGCTGAACCACAGCAGAAAAATATAAAACCTAAATAAATGAATAAATGAAGACATGCAGGGCATGGCATGCGAGCGTGCACGCACACAAACACACACATGAGCACACACGTACACATACGCATAGTAGACCAGAGCAGACTACATATAGACAGCTATGTGATCTTTTGCGAATTGTTTCTGTTCTGTGGTGTGCTCCCGGAAATGAACACTGAGCTGGATTATACATTGGGTTTCTCATGATGGGAACTAACGTTTGAAAACCAGAGCTGTAACACCTTGGTGCTGCCAGGAATGCCCACATGTGTTGTTGCCTCGGTTTCCCCATTTTCACAGGCCTCCCTGTATAGCTGGAGTCGCTTGACTCTGTAAATGTTCCTCAGAGGACCTGTCTCCCTCACAGCATAAAGGCACAAGTCCCCCACTGTGGGCACTGTCCCTGCCTACAGTCCCTTCTGCTGTGGCAGCAAGCTCTTGGGGGTTAAGTCATCTCTGAGCTAAGTGCAGGAACCCCCCAATTTAGAATAGAAACAGAAGCATCCAGTTAACTAAATATCAGAATACAACACCTACATTTTTAGTATAAGTATATTCCAAATACTGAATGAGATACACTAAAAAATTTGTCATGGTTTATGTGGAATTCAAATTCAACCAGACACCTGTATTTTTTTCTGACAGCTTTAAGTAAGTAATAAACAGAGACCAAACAGGAGGGAAAGTTAGAAGATTAAGACTTTAAAATGCCTCCAACTAAAAATCTTTGGGCTTTAATATGATCATAAATTAACAGCTGTATTGCATTATGCAAATTTATGTTAAATTATTCTCTCTGTCATCACGCCCCAGTAAAAATTGTATATATGACATTTAGGGGGAAAATGACATCTTCTGATAAGAGATTTGCTCTACATCTTGGCACAGCTGATTACCTGTGCCTGAACGCTGTGGCCACCCCTCCCAAGAGGTCCTGTGTTAGTGACTCTTGGAGTTCCTTCTGGTCTAAGTCCCTGGAGAACAGCCCAGGAGTGGCGATTTCTACTGTCAGGTGACGCACAGCCCTGCCCTTTGCCTAAGAATGGTACCTCCTGGCAGTGAGCACAGGGGCTCGAGGGGCATGCCACGAGGAGGTTTATCTGTGAGCTCTGTCACTCTGTCTTGGAGCAGCCAAGGAGAAGGACATCTCTAATCTGATGTCCCACCAGCTGGCTAATTCAATGTTCAAGCAGACACAGGTACATGCTATTAGTTTCTCAGACAGATGTGCTTGAGTGGATCATTTAGAGTTGCAGCCTTCCTGAAGGTTCCTGGTATATCCCACTGTTTTTTAAATAATTTTTCTTCCATTCCACCTCTGTCTGCCTGCCTGCCTGTCTGTCTCCTTGAGACAGGATGTCAGATAGCCTAGGCTGGATTTGAATGAGCTATGAAACTCTTGCTCCTCTTGCCTCTCCTGGGTGCTTGGATTACAGGTGTGTCTCTACACTTGGAGGACAGTTTCTTAAAGTCGAGGCCCTGCTCGTGGAAGAGGTGCCCATGTCTGTTCTGGAAGGGAGAGTCGAGCATTACAAACAGAATATGACCTCCATTAACCTGGTACCCAGCAAAGCCTGGAGGACAGGAAGCCAGATGGCTGTCAGCAGACTGCAGAATGCCAGGTCTGCTTGGAAATGGTTGTGGGCAGGAGTAAGTGACAGGAAGGAAGGCCACAAAGAGGGCCTAGAACGATCTGGAACAGGAAGCAGTGGTGTTGAGGAGCAGTCGCAGGGATTCTCAGGGGTGCCGGTGCTTGCCATCCCACAGACACAGGCCCTCACTGCTCGAAAGCTGTGTGGGCTCGGAAGGACGAGGCAGGCTCCAGTGGCCTTCTCAGAGACGGTGCTGGTGTCTCAGAGCTCACATGCAAGTGTGCAAGGGCCTTAGGCCAGGAAGCTACAGTACAGTGTGATTCTGGGCAGCATCCTATGCCTTTCCCCATTTGCTGATTTACAAACAAAGGGGTGTAGCTCAGTAGTGGAGTATGCCTCGCCATGTGTGAAACCCTGAATTCAGTTCTCAGTCACATACACACACAGACACACGGACACACACACACAGGCACACGCACAGAGGCGCACACACACAGACACACCCACAGGCACACAGACACATACACAGAGACACACACACAGACACACACATACACACACAGGCACACACACACACAGACACACAGACACACACACAGAC